CATGAAGTTACTAACTTTAAAAACTACCAATAAAGATATGAGCAAGGCCTTACCTTAATACCAAAAAAAAAAAAAATATAAAATAAATTTAATAAAATAAATTTATTGCATTTTGCAAAATTATATAACTTCTGTAATTATTAATTTTATTATAAAATAATTGTAATTGTAATTGCAATTGCTAAAGTTAAATGATTTATATAGATTTAAATTTATGTTAAATAAACATAACTTAAACTTATAATAAATTAACTAGTTTTAGTAAATACAATTGCAATTACAGATATTTTATAATAAGGATGAATCTAATTGCAACAATCTGTTACACATTTATTTGTAACAACTTATTTAGTATAGCCAATAAAAATTCATTTAACCCAATCTCTAACTCTAACTACTATTGGCTAATTTAAGGTTGTTATATGTAATAGATTGTTATGATTATATTTATTTTTATAATAAAATTAATAATTATAAAAATTATATAATTTTGCAAAGTGTAATAATAAAATATAAATTATTTACCTCAAAAACAGTAATAATTTCTGCAATTACAATTGAATTTCTATTTTCACAATAATAATAATAATAATCATCTTTTTTAAATTTTAATAATTGTAGATTTAGCTTAATTGTATTATAAATTTTTTTACATATTGTTTTCTAATATGCAACTCTTTCTTTTGTTCTTTTCTTTTGTTCAGTATTACATAATCTATTATAACATATAGCAGTTGTAATATCTATTGTACCAAGCTCAGTAACTACAGTAAGATTGTTTTCATTAAGTATAGATTTATTTCCAATTTTTTTGTTTTGTTGTTGAGTATAAAAATCATATTTTTCTAATTTAAAAAAGATTTAATTTAGAAATTTAAAATATAAATATAAAAAAAAATTAATTTTAAAATTACCTCGATAATTTAACATAATTTGCATTATCATTAATAGACTTATTTTATATAATTGTTTGTATACTTTACTAATTTTTTCAAAAAAATTTTTCTCAGTCATTAATTCTGAATTTAAATAAATTGTTTCATTATATAGTTAATTTAAGTTAGAAAGATCTAAATCTTTAGATAAATTTGATTAATCTAATAATTATTGTTGATGTTTAGTCAACAATTCATTAAGTTCAGATAATTTGTTAAAATCTGATTCAGATAAATCTAATTCTTCTTTTGCCAATAAATTAAATTTTTCTTCAGCTAATATTTTAAAATTGTTATTTCTTCTAATAAAATATCATAATTGACATCTTTTTTAAGTGAATGTATAGATTGTTGAATTAATAGTAAAAAATCTACTTGATTTTGTTTTAAACCAAGACTCAAAAGTATAATTTTCATAATATTCAAAGCCTTTAATAAAATAAAATTATTAATAGCTATAATATTAAAATAAAAAAAATAATAAATAAATATATCTCTTTTATCATAAATCAATTTCAAATACTGATAGAAAATTTGATAATTCTTTTGACAAATTTTCTTTAGATGTTAGATAATTTAATATTTTATCCATCGTTATTATCTAGTCTAATTAAATCATTTAAAAATTATTTTATAAGTTAATATTTAATAAATATATTAATATATAACATATAGTTATCTCTTATTTATATCAATTTATTTGAATTACTTTTGTATTTATATTAATAGTAATACATATTAATAAGAAAACATATTAAAGTTAATATATATAAAGAAATTTTAATAATTTTAATATATAAAAAAATTTATTTTATAGCTTAAATTGATATTAATAAGATTGATATTAATGAGAAATAACTATATAATAAATAAAATTATTTAATTTACTAACTTTTCATTTTAATTTTAATAGCTTTTAAAATTTTTTTGCTCATTAATAAAAAGTCTACAGTAAATCCTTAATTATTTATCATGCATAACCAAATATATGTTCAAGAAAAGCAATAAAAATAATCCATAGACATAAAAGATAATCAATATAGAAATTTGGCCAATTTTGAATTAACAAAAATAAAAATAATTCTAAATAGATAAAATCATCACTTGACTGTCAGGATATTCTATATTATTTTGATTGCATATAGCTGGATTAATTTTTAAGAAGTTATGTATTTTTGCAAAAAAAATACATGCATTTCATACAAATCCAATTCGATCTATATAAGCTATATTATATGATTTTCATGATTCAAATAGCATTTCACAAAAAAAATAATAACATGTATTACCATATATATTACCATTATTATATTTTAATGAATAATTTGTAAAACCTATAGAATAAATAATTAATATTTATATTGATACTAAAATTTTACTATTTAATATATATTTACCTTTTAAAACAGTTGATAAAAAAAATCTTTTTGCTAATTTATCTGATTGTTTATTTTTAGGATTAAGTATATCATTTGCTAAACCTGAATAAACTTCTGAATTTTCTTTTAAAATCTATAAATGTTCAGGTGATATTAAATAATATTCAATAGAGCATATTCTTGTTCCACTAATATGCATATTTCATTTTTATAATAAATAATAAATAGTAAATTATTAACAAAATAGTTATTAGTATAGTACTAAACAGTAAAAAACATCTAATCTATACTATAAAGCACCAATTTTTGGTGCTTATATAATTGATTTTGATTAGCTAATTTTAATTTAATTTGTTTTGATTAGTTAATAAATATATATTTTTTCTTTTTTTTTTTATTAAATGCTAATTTTTTAAACAATTATAAACTTTAACTTATAACTTTTTTAAAACAAAAAATAAGCAAAAATTCTCTAATAGAAATATAGTTTAACTAAAAATTTACTAATCTGCCAGAGTTTTTTGATTCATTTTGTTTTAAAAAAGTAATAGCAATTTGAAGTTTTTACTAATAAAGAGTGAATGCATTTTGCTGTCCAGTATTGTAAATCTAACAAATTTATAATATTTACCTTTTTTAATACAATAAAAAATATCTGTTCTACAAATAAAAGGTAATAAATTATTCATTAAATGTAAAGTTATTAGAAAATTCTTAAACATATTGAAAATTTGTACATTCTAATAAATAAATATATACATTAATTAATTTATTTATATTTTTAACTTAATTCTTATAAAAACTTACTGATTTAAGTATCAATTTTTGAGAAAAAACTGGACTTTTGCTATAAATTTCACCTAACCAATTTTTATCTAAAGTAGCATCATCAAAATATAAACCAATAGTCATAGCACTAGCATAATATAATCCTTTTATAACTAAATTGTTATTATAATAATTAAGTTCAATTATTTTCTTTTGATCAGATGGAATAACAGAAATTACAACAGGTGGTATTTCTGAAATACAAGCTAAAAGAGCATAAACAGTAATATATGTTGCTTTTTTAAAACTATTAATTTTATTATGAAGTTCTTTAAATATCATAGTTGTTGAAATTGTAATACTATTAATAAGTATACATTTAATCCATTTTTGTTGATGTTTACAAACTTTAATTAATTCTGCAACCTTTGTTTGATCTTTTGCACATATAGTAGGACCATTATAATTATATGCTTTGTGCCATATTGTAACAATATCTGAAAAGCTTGATATATTAATTCCATAAATATTATAGTTCTTATCTGGTTTATTTCTTTTATATTGTAAAAATTGAATTGTTGGACCAGCAAAATTTGCTGTAAGCCAACAAGTTGCTAAAGTGCTAATAGACATAAAAACAATTAAAAAATCAATAAAACTTTTATGATATTTGCCAATTGTCCTCATAGAGGCTACTCTATATTGCATTTTATTAATAACTTTAGTTATAGCTTGTGCCATTTCAACAAATACAGACTGCTTTTCTTTTATTGTTTTATCAACTAAATAGATTATACATTTGCTAATCTAATTTTCAAGTCTATGAGCTTCAACAGTTTCAATAATATGCCCAAATGCAGAGTACTTATTAATTGTTATATAATATATATAATCTTTTATTTCTTTTTCAACATATTTATGCAGTTGTTGTAGCTCTGTTGATTTTGTATTACCAAGATGATTTTTTAATGAAGAAATTACTAATTTATATAGTTTATTAATATCATATTGTGTCCAGGTAATTCCAAATTTTAAAATAAAGCTTGCAAGTATTTTTTGTTCTTCTTTTAAAATAAACAAGCAGTCAATTTGTGCAATAAGTTCTTGATAACATTGATTTCTTTTTTGTACAGATTCTAATTGTGATAAAATACTACATTTAGAACAATATTTGGATGTTGTATATCTTTCATATTGTTTGCTTTGAATATATCTATATGCTTTTACATTTTTATCAAAAAGATCATCATTACATAAAATTTTATAGTTATCTTTGATGTTCCATATTGTGCAAGTGCTACAAATGATTTGGAATAGAAGCTATAATATACAAAAAATAAAAAATTTAATAATATTTTAATTGCTTATATTTATTTTAAATTGCTTTATTTATTTATAATTATCTGTTTTTAATAGTTCATAATATATTTTTGTAACTAAAGTTTCTTTTTGTGTTTTTTCAAAATATAAAAAAGTAGTACAATACTTTTTTGAAGGATTTGCTTTTTCATGTTCTATATTTTCTTTATGCATATTTGTTTTGAGATATTGCCATAATCGATAACTATCATTAATTTGATGTAATTTAATAGATTGACCAGTATTACAATAATGACAATAAACATGCCAATTATCTATTTTTTCTAATTTTGAACCTTTCAAAAATTCTTGAAGTGTTAAAATTTTTTGATTGCCTGGAGTTTTATTTTTAAAATTTGATTTTCTTACTTGCTTAGTACTGATATTGGTATTTGTAAAAAAAGAATTATCCTGTGATTTTTTTTTTGTAAAAGAACTATTTAATGCCACAGAAAAATTTAATTTAGTTTGCACTAATGTTTTGCATTTTGCTAATGTTGTTGACTCTTTCATTTTAAAGAATAGAAAAAATTTTTTGTTATATTAACTAGATATGTATAATGAAAAAAACTTATATATTTTATTATATTAATTATATATACATATACTTGATCTGATTATGGAATCGTTTCTATAATTTATGTTAAAATGAATTACTTCATTCATTAAATTCATTTATATAGATCTACTACTATATAATTTAGTAAATTATTTTGTTATTATTATGCTTATCTTAACTTTTACATGTTACATACATCTTGTATAATAAGTAGCTGCACAATGTTATTACACAAAACCAGAAACAGAAGGTGGATTTTCAGATCGAGTTGCAGATGAAACTGCTTTTATTATAAGTTTTTTGTTTACTTAACTTTTATAAGTTTTATTTGCAGCTTTAAATTAGATTATATGTGCAGTAGGTTGAATACTAACTATGTTATTTAGGTAGACTTTATATGCAATTTAGATAGATTAGTATTAGTATGGTATAGATGTAGCATTCTTGCATGTATATAGTTTTTTTAAAATAAATTATTTACTTTTGTTGTTATTTTATTTCATATAACTGATAAATATAATAAAAATTTCTTAATGAGTATATTTAAAATAAATTATTTATATACTCTTAATTTTAACTCTCCCTTATAGATCCCTTAACCAAAATTCACAGGAAGCAAAAACATAAAAGAATATTAAAACTTACAAGCAAGCAATATGTAGAGCACTAAAGAAAAAGACAGAAAATATAGAAATACAGCTAACCAATTTATAAACAAAAATAAACTAGAGTAGCAACAAGCAACAGTAAGAAAACCAATCTTCAGTGAACTTTAATAAGCAAAATTAACATATAGAACTAGAACAAAATAGATCAGATAAACCTACACAAAGCTATTAAAGAAAGGTTTAGCATAAAGAAATACAAGCTTTCTATTAATACAAATATAGATATAGCTTTCTTTAATAAGGTTCTTAATTAGTTTTAACTTGGCTTGAAAAATTCGCAAAATTTTTGTTATTATTTTTGGAAAAGTAGAAAACCACTCTAGACTCTGAAAACAAACAGTCTGGACACGTGGTCAGCTGACAACAAAACAACAACAAATACAGCATATTATATAAATAACAATACTATTCTAATTAAGAAATAATAGATAAAAGGTTTTACATGTACTGCTAAGCAAATAGAAAAACAATAAACCAAAATAGAAACAGAAGTACAGTGCAAACTAAGCCTTCCAGATAATACAGAATTAATACAACATATAAGATATTTTGATAATAGAAATAGAAGATATATAAACGGCAGAGTATTAGATAAAATTTTAACAAAAAGAATAGATAACCCTAGCAATTTAGAGTATATAGCGAAAGATCTTGCAATTTATGACCCAAAAAATATCACAATAGGTGATGTACTTCTTTACAGACAAGTACTTGAAGCACTTAAAAGAGCAGAAACCTTTTCATTAATAAGAAGCATGATAGAATAATGAGCAAGTAAGCTTTTAGCAATAGATCAAAACCCAAAATCATTTAACTACTTGTTGAGTATGAAGAGTGAAGAAATACCAAAAGAGGAAGTAGAAATGAAAGAAATAGAAAGAGGTAAAAATACAGAGAACATGGATATAGCTTACATTGAAAAGAAGAGACAACAATACAAAATGAGTAGTGATAAAGAAGCTAGCACAAACCTAAGTGTAGTTACCAACCAAATGCAAGATCTTAGCATATCAACATCATTATATAGAGAACCAATTGTATCAGATTCTTTATGGCAAATAGAAAGAGAAAAAACAGTAGATAAAAATAAAAAGAGTATAAGGTTAATAACTGAGAAAATCATGAAATGCCAATACTTGTAGACACAATAGAACAGAGCCAGTGGTCTTTAACAAATCAAATATATGATAAGAGCAAATTATTCAAAACAAATATGCTAACATATGCAATACCAGGTGCAAATAAAGAAGAAAGATTAAAATACACACAATGGATCCTACATGGCAATTATCATATTAAAACAATTAAAGAGGTTTTCAAAAATGGGAACAGTTGGATTGAGGTAGATTTTGACTGCAAATTTAGTAGAGATGCAGCAATGAATAGAATCAAAGAGAAAGAAGAAGATTTGCTTAAGCTGATTCCAGAAGAATCAAAAAGTCAAGAAAAGAAACTAAGCTATCATACAGTAAACAACAGCAGAAAAGACAAGAATAAACCCAAAGAATACAAGAAATTTAATGAAAGAAAAGATGATAAAAATGCATATCTAGCAAAAGATGAATTAGAGCCATACATGTACCTAACAATATGAGACTTATTGGCAAACATCAATATAGAAAAAATAGAATAAATGTATAGAAACTTCAAAAAAATTCAAATTAAATGCATTAGAAGATTCAAATATAAAGCTTTAGCTGTAGTTAGAGTAGAAAATATGAAAGAAGAAACCATATTATGGTCCTTACCAATTAGCATACACAGACTGGCAAGAGTAAGCATAGGTGAAGAAGACTTTAACAAACACAACTTACAAAACTGATTCACAGCAAAAATTTTAGAACTTCCAAGTGGCACATCAGAAGTATTACTATTATGATGCTTGAAGAAAAGAGAAGCAAAATCAGTATATATTCCATTTAACAGAAATGGAAATCAGAGAAGATCAACAACAATAACATTTGTGACAGAGAAAGAAATGAATATGGCACAAACAAAGCCAATAAGATTTAACAATCACCTATTATTTTGGTCGAACTATGTTAAAAAAAAAGGAAAGAATAAAAAAAAAAGTGATAATACAAGGTACAGGAGAATAGATAATAATAGAGAAAGTAATAATGAAAAAATATATGAATATAACTGAAAAAAAGAAAGCAAACAAAAAAATAACAAGAACAGAAATGAGGATAGAAACAGAGAGCATCACAAAGAAAACTTAACAGTTGAAAATCAAAAGCAAGAGAAGATAAAGAAAGAAAAGAACCACAATCACAGCTACAAAAAGAAACCTCACACATTGAAACTATCTTAGGATAAATACTAGAAAGATTAGAAAGACTAGAAGAAGATAGAGAGAAAAATAAGATAAACTAACCTAAACACTCCTAAGAGTGCCATAGTTGAACCAATGAATATAGATAAGAAAATCGAAGTATTTTTGCAAAAAGAAAGAAAAGTCTTCAAGGAAAAAAGAGAAATTGGATTTTCTTGTCAGGAAGAAGAAGTTAAAGATATAAGAACAAGACAGAAACTATTAAAAGAGAAATAAAAAGAAGAAAAGAAAAAAATAAAGTTGGCATGCTATAACATAAATGGACTTAAAACCAAGAGTTGGAAATTAGAGAACTTGCTCAGCTAGGAGAAGAAGAGAAAATTGCAATACTAAGAATTATAGAAACAAATATTACTAAAAGAGAAGAAAGGTTCCTAATGCATGCAGCAAACAAGAACTATATAAGGTACTGAACAAACATAGCAAAAGATAAGAAAAAGGTTTAGGTCTAGAAATACTAATAGAAAAACAATGGAAAAAGCATGTGGGTGCAGTCAAGAGGATAAGTGAATATATGATAGAGATCACATTATACTTTAAGCAATTGGAGTTGATAGTAATAGGAGTTTATATACTACCAAATAATAAGACAATAGGGAAAAACATCTAACAGAAGATTGTAAAAATAGTTACAAAACAGAAAAGACAAACACAAATTGTAATTATGGGTGACTTTAATCATACTGTAAACAATATATTAGATAAGCAACATATGCAATTAGAACATTTTAAAAGACTATTAATCTTTAACTAGATGAAAAAACAAGACTTCATAGACACATACAGAAATATGCATCTAACAAGCCAAAAGTACACATAGTCAAGCAAAGAAGCAGCAACAAGAATCAACTATATTTGGGTGTCAGAAGAACTGGCCTTAGGCTTGCAAGGAGCAAATATTGAGGAAACAAAAAAAACTACTGATAGCGATCATAAAATAACAACTATAGAAATATGAATTAAACACATGATGGAGAAAAGCAGCAAAGCAGAAGTTAAAAAAAAAGAGCAATCAAAAACACTATATTTATATGATCAGACAAAACCAGAAAATTGGAAAGATTATGCACAAGAGCTACAGAAGTGACTAGAAGCAAAAGAAAATCTAAAAAATATTCAAACAGAAGTGCAAGACATAAAAGAACGTATAAATAAAATAAACAGTATATGGGATACATTAGAAGAAGCAATTATCACTGCAGCAAATAAGCACATACCCAAAA